ATGGAATATCAAAATTAGATGATACCAAAAGGGTTGGTTAGAGGACATCTCAAGATTTCTAAAAAGTCCAAGAACACTTCCAAAAGTTCAAAATTGAAGAAGTTATGCATTGTTGAAGTTGGGCATTTTTGCAAAATTGCCAAAAGTCAACCATCCCCAAAACTTCAAATTTTGTCAAATGGGCCCATTCTTTTCCACTTGATTTGATCTTATCACACTACACACGTGTCCTAGCTCCATCCTTGTGACCATTAATCAATTTTATTATTTAATTTGATTTTTTAATGAATTATTTCATTTTTAATCAATTTAAATCAAATAAAATCCAAACATTGATTATTTGATCTCTTTTTGGCTATTTCAAGATTGAATCATCATCATCAAGTGGATCAAATTCGTATCAACTATTCCATGTGAAAAAAGATTGGATTTTTGGCAAAATTGGAAAGCTTTCAATGGAGGATCAAATCCAATCTCAAGGCATTGATTTGGAAGGATTCAGTCCACAAAAGTTGACCTAATACATTACAGCATACATATACAATGCAAAGCACGCGAATTTGGGACCTAAAGGCTGCAGAATCATCAAGAACCAAACTTGAAAAAAGGTGAAAAAGTGTGAAACTGAAATCGTTCTTAGAGGCAAATTCAAAGGCAAATCACAACACTAATCCATTGTTGGACAATCACTGGAGCAAAACCAACCCAAAACCAGTCTTCATACACGTGCAAGAGCTCTGTAAGTGTCTCAAAAAATGCTTTTCGTTTGAATTCATATATCCTTATTCTTGCACTTTTCTTACAAAATCTTTGCATATTCATGATTATCGTTCAATTTAGAAGCATTCTGCATTAGCCAATTGCATTTATCTGGCCTGTAACCCCATAGTTGAATCTAGGGTTCGTGTTTTGTTATTTTTGGGCATTTCTTTTTCAGGCAAAATCAGTGCCATTGATGGACATAGGCATGACCAGTGGAGGAAGACGAGCATGACCATGGTCTTGGATTGAGTTTTCATGGCCTAGAATCAATTTTTGGAATGTCCTGCGAATTTAGCTGCGGATATAAATCTGCAGGTAAATGTTCAGGGTTGAACGAAGAAGACGAAGACGTGTCCCCCTCTTAGTGGATGGTTCAAATATAACGCGCTATTATTTTTTTTCTGATCCATTAATTTGTTTTTGTTTTATTATTATTAGTTTCCAATACAATAACAATTGAAGCGTGATGGTTGGGTGGCAAAGGCGTTTGTTCAAAATCCAACAGGACCTGGGTTCGAATCTCAGGTCCCCCATGCATTTGTTATGTTTTTTCTACAGGAACAACAATGCATCATACACCATCACCCAATCATCTGCCAGATGGCCCCGGGCCAGATCTGGTGGTCCAGAATGAAAGCCTACCATGGGCCAAAGTCAGCGCGTATGCATGGAATCAAGAAAGTCAACCAGGCCAGTGGATTATTGGGCCATAAAACTGCTAATCAGACTCCTTTTCCAGGCCCACACCCCCTAAGTCTTTCTATTTTATTCTTTCTATTTATTTTATTTAATTAGTTATTTTAATTTATTGACTAACCAATTAAAACTTTTTCTTAATAAAATTAAAAAAAAATTATTTATTAAATTAATTTTCAGTATTTTATTTTTGTTAATAAATATTAATTTAATTAATTTAGTTTTAATTAGGAATAACTTTGATATCTTTTTGTAATAATTAAAATCAATTTAGATAATTAGGTTTTATTAACATTGATCAAGCTATTTTTATTTCTTTAAATATCAAAAAACCAAAAATATTATTTTCATTAATTAATTAATTAATTTAATTTAATAATTAACTTAGTTTAATTTCTTTTTAATTCAAAAATAAACAAAAAAAATCTTTTCTTTAATAAACAAAGGGTCAAAACCCTAGAACGCGCCCGATTTGATTTCTCGCACGCGATCCATTTTATTTCAATATTGTATCTGTTTCCGGAATGTAATAGTTTAATAGGACGTTACTATTTTATCGCTTTATTTATTTTCCGCATTTTAATTTCAAGGGTTGCTTTTGGCGATGTAAATACCCGACGCCTTGTAATAGTTAGTTTAATTTCCGCAATTTATTTTCCGCGACTTATAAACTGTTAGATGTTTGATAATAGGGAATGCATGACAAGATCGAATATTTAAACCTAAAATCAACATAGATCACCATTAACATGTACAAAGATAAAATTAACTGAAAACAACACACTCGCACATGCGCACTCTTAGGGTACATCCCACTTGGTTGCCTTCGTAACACGGTCATTAAGTATAGGTTGTTTTATAGGTCGCTCTCTTATCCAAAGATCATAGTTGCCTCGAAACGGTTGCCTCGGAAAAATGATCTAAGACATTAGGGTTACCGCTAAGGCGTCCTAACATTGCTTTAGTGACCGCACGTCCCTTAATCGAATTGACTCTTAAAACTCCAATGACGATGCTACCTACTCATCAATAGTGGGATAACATTGTCTAAAGGACATTAGTACAGATTGATTCCTTTTTCGAGTAGGTAGATGATTCTTAAATACTTGCTCTTTCAAAACAAAACAAATTTTCGCACTTACACTCCTTTTCAAAACAAAAAACTTCTTCAAACCCACAAACACAAAGAAAAGCAATTTTGAAAACACTTTGAGCAAGTACCTAAGAGCCCGTGGATAACTACGGATAGAAAGGGTGCTAACACCTTCCCTTTCTATAATCTATCCCCCGGACCCGAGAAACATCTCGAAAAAGGAATTTTTCTGTGCTTTTTTCCTTTCTTTGTTGGATAAAATAAAAGACGGTGGCGACTCTTGCTTACCGCGACATTTTGCAAAAACAAACGCAAAACGCAAACCAGCATTCTAAAAAACAGTCAGTTCTCTCCCACCATATCACAGCTTCGGTTGTATTCGAAGCGCTCGTATTCCCTCCTGTGGGAAGAGGAACTTGTTGTGCATTGTTAACGGGTGGGTTAGCCATTTTCCTATTGTATTGCCTTTTTGGTCTAGGATCTGTGATATTGGCTAATTTTCCACTTCTTAATCTCATGTAACAAAACAAGTTAGGAAACACAGATTATCGAAGAAAGAAAGAAAAAAAATTAAATACTAAACACAGGATCCCATTGGGCGTGCCAATTTGTTTACCCTAAAATTTGGTAAACAATCGCTGATCCTCTAAATCTTTTAACAGATTCAGTTACTCACGAGATCGATCAGATTGATCTCAAGACTATTGTGTTCAAATATTTAGAAAACATATTTTGATGATAATCTCTTTAAACAAAAGGAATCACTTCGTATGTCGAAGTGAAACTTCTTTATAAAAGTAATGAAATATAAACTAGTTTAGATTGGGAATTGTAAAGAACGTAAATAACATAAAGAAATTTCATTTAATGTAAATGACATTGAATACAAAATATGGTGCATCATACATACATTCTCGTTAACTCTTTTCTTGAACACTGGTACTTTGAGTATTTTGAGTATTTTGTACAAAAATGTGAATACCACAAATTGAAACACAAAAGCTACAATTTATAGAACTTCGATCCTAACGGTCTTCTAACAAACTAATGTCACGTTTCCGCTGGCATGTCTTCGACAATCCAAGAGATTCCATGCATCCTTCTGGATAAGAATGAATATTCGAATTCAAACTCTTCGCTATTCGTTTTGAGCGTCTTAAATCATGTTTCGAATAATAACTTTATTTCGCAATTCGAATTATAAACTATCCATCAATCTTCTAATGAATTTCGAATTCGAATCTTTATGACTTTTAACAAACAAAATAGCCAAACAATTCTTTAAGTATCTTCAGATCATTGACTCAGTTCAATTTTTCTTTAGTCAAAATTTCCAACCAACAACTAATCGGACTAAATTGGGCCTTATGTAGACTTAGGCCAAGAGCAGGCCCAATCCAAAACATAAATGTTTTGACTATTGAGTTAAAAGTAAATTTTATGATATTGAATTTTTAGATGTTTAATTGTTTTTAAAAATATTATTATGATTTAAAATATTTTTTTTACTCAATGTTATTATAGATCTAAAGCTCATGTTTTAAGTCTTGTTAATTAATTTAGCTGGGTGTACATCTGATTTGAGAGAAACGAATTTGAATACGTGGCATTCCCCTATTCACTTAAGGAAAATTATGATCGTTAGACTGACAAAAATTCATGCTTTTACTTCCATCGTTTTTTTTAAAGAACCTCCATTTAATGCCTGCAAGAGTCCATCAATGCTGAAAGAGTGCTCAATGGCATTGACATTTGACATTAGTTGTTATATTTCAAAATATATAATACTCACTCCGTCTCATGTGTCTAATTTGAGCTCTGCACAGTTCTTAAGAAAATGTGTTGATTTTAATAATAAAATTAAAGTTATTTACTAAAATACCTTTATTTATTATAATTAATAAAATAGTTGAAAAATGTGAAAATTAATAAATAGGAGTAGTGTAAAAAAATAATAAATATTGTATTGGTATTCTAAAAAGACATTTATTTTGTAATATAAAAAAAATTATAAATAAGACACTTATTATGAGAAAGATGGAGTAGTTAGTACTTACACTTTCTATCAATCATGAATCATCATATATTACTTATTTGATTATGTAAGTATTCCGCTCTTTCCAAAAAAAACAACATCAAATTGGACAACCACATATGAATAATTGTTATCCTTGCAACAAAATCCCTTCATTCCATTGCATGAAATGCAAGTGCATCAAAATTCCTCTGGTAAGAAAAATACCTACATACATATAATCCTAAGCTGCACACATTCTGCTTATGCTAGGGATGTGCCCCGTGATGCGTGGACACCATTTAAACTCCGCCAGGTGCATAAAGAAGCAATAAAGTTCGTTAAAGCTTCAATTCTTTTCAAATTTCTTATTTTCAATTCTTATGAAGTATGTTGTAAGGAATGAGGCAAAAGGAATCGATGATATTACCGGTATCAAAGCTTCTTTACAACTTCCTCAATTACACGACTATAGTAAGTCATTCTCTTAATTACATTCTTCGCTTCTTCAAAGTCCCGTCTTTCAAAAGCATCAGCAAAGGCATTAGACCAATTTTGCAGTTTCTCCTGCATCTGGATGAACAATCAAATGATGATATGAAGAAACAACATCAAAGTAATAATAATTCAAAATCTATATTTGAACTGATTATGAAATCTATTTGTAGCATATAGCACTTCCACCTTGCACAAATTGGAATTTCTAGACATACCTGGGAGCGAATGTGATTCAAAGCCTCGGAGTTAGTTGCTTCTTCAACTTCTTCCCTAATTTCCATAATCTGCAGTATATTTTGGCAATAGAAAACCATATGCATATTATACCATTAACTCTTACCAATTAAATTCTAGAGACCTACTTTATATTTTGAAAAAAGAGAAAGAAAAAGAAAAGCTGAGCTGTTGTAGTTAACCATCACAATTGTACAGAAAATATATATTTCATTCTTTAGATAGTTTTACTCCTGAGTCTGACAATAGAGACTCAATTAATGAGACGTGATTCATGTTTCAAAGAGAATAACTCCCCACTTGTTTTTTGAGGCACTTGTTTCACTGTTATTTTGCTTAATGAGGTTTAAATGAAATTTCACATTGAAGACGAAATAAACTTTACTCAGTTACCTCTGCTAGTAATTCTGCATCGTAAATTGTCTGCTCCTCATCAATTTCCGCTCCATCGAGCTTCAGCTAACAAAATATGGTGCATCATTACTTTGTATCAAGAAAGAAGAAACAGTAAAGAGGGTATAACTATCATCAAATATCAAACTTGTTGACGACATATTTAATTTGTTTCTATGGTCAAATATCAAACTTCCTAATTGCAGATGTATTTTGATCATTGAACTTTTAAATATGTTCAAATTCTGTAGAGATTTCCGCTCTTGTAATAATGCGTCATCAATTTGAATATTGGCGTGGAAATATTCTTACCATGTAAATCGCTCTTGACAAAGGCTTGCTAAGTGTATGGTATGCATCAATCACTCTTGCAGATTGTTCAGCAGCAAAATCTTTTTCTTTCTAACAAATTGAAGCAATTAAAACAAAAAATTGTCAGTATCTCCAAAAACACATTCATCTTCACTGCCTTCCCCATCCCAGTTCTAAACAAAAAGAGTAAGAAATAAGGTGGAAGTAGTATATGAAATAAAAAGGATGAGGAAAGGATATCACTTAAGAGTGTAAGACAAACCTGAGATTTAGAATGCACTAAATCAGGATGTAGCTTCTTTTGCCACTCCTTGTACTTCCCCTCCAAATCAATACCCTCTACATCATACGTCTTCTCCCTGTTTAAAATTTAAAGAAAAAAATTTCTTTCGAGTTTCTCCACTTATTTATCATACTGTTGGTGTTCATATTCATACAAAAACTTAAAACATGAAAGAGATATTACAAATACACTATTATGACATGTAAGAGAATACAATTTCATCTTGCAGCTTGATGAAAGACATTGTACAGACATATATAACAAGTTTTTCTGTCTCAACCCTCCGATTCTCAAGCGAACAAAGCCCTAGAGCCCTAGTGATCTTCAGTTTGGTCAGGAGGTAAGTAAACTCTAGGAAAAAAATTAAGACAGAATTTGTTCTTGGGTTTTCCCTCATCTTTAACCGATGCTCATTAACCAGTAGAGCTCAATCACTTGCTTAGCATATTTAACAATTCCAAAAATGAACAACAATAACAACCAAGTCTTATCCCACTAAATAGAGTCGGCAACATGGATAAACTTTTACCCAAATCATTAATATTGAGATCTTTTTTAATAACTTTTGTTATAGTTATAGTTTTTCTAGGTCTACATCTACCTCTAATTATTTGACATCTCTGTATCTCATCTACTCTCCTTACTACAGAGGTCTTCTCTCTACATGCTTAAACCACCTTAAAAACAGCAACTTCCTATAAATCATCAACTTCCACCTCCCTAGAAAAACAATTTATGCTATAAATCAACAAATTACAAACCCATATTTTATCAGCCAATAAAAATCAAAACTGTATGAACAACTTCAACAACCAAGAATAACAAAAACAAAATCCCAGAACTTACGTCCCAAAAATTTCGAAATAGTCAATCGAATGATCAACCGGCTGAACGCAACGACATGATTGGCAGAACAGGAAAGGTACTGACTGAGGAACATCGTGACAATTCCAGCACGTAATTTGGAATTTCTCTGCAGGTTTTGAACATAAACTTTTTCTGCAAAATCTGAAAGACCCAAGTGAAGAATAATAATAGCAGGTAGGGTAACCATGAGAGAGATTATCAATATCATACGGTGGTGCAAAGGATGGTGGTGATGAGGATCGAAGTTTAAGGTGAGGAGATAAACGTTGAGGAATTGAAGTTAAGGTTCGTCCAAACTTTAAGAAAGATGAAAGAGGCGTGGAGAGAAACTTGTTTCTCATTGTGAAAGCAGTAACAACGGGTAAGGGTTCCTGATTTTTGGGAGGGTGGAGAATGAGTTTAGGACAAAACTTAGATGCGGTACGCTATGTTCGGTTGTTACTGTTCTCACACGCGTTTGGTTGAGAGGTTTTATCAAACAGTTGGTAGGTGTAACAAGTTGGAATTGAGAGGAAGAGTCTTTCGGTGTTGTTTTTTTTTTCAGCGACTGAAGCAAACGTGAAAGCTATGGAACTTGGCCACCGAATTAATTGATAACCCATTTCTAACTCGACAATAACGACGTCGCGTTACTGTTTCATTTTATTTTGTCATTTTTTTCCTCATATTTAATCAATTTTAAGTAAATATAAGGTTTGTATTTAGAGTTGTCTCGAACTTTTGAATGATTATGGGTAAGAAATCCAAGTTAACTTCAAATGAGTTTTGAATTTATTTTAAGAAGTTTTATTTAACAGTAAATTAATCTGGAATATATGTATGGATCCTTTTTATTATAGTTTAATTATTAAAAAAATGTGAGATGTTGAGTTAAAGATTACCTTACACACTTTTAAAAATGACCTGTTTAAAATAATTATCACATTTATAAAATATTTTTTTTAAAATATAATTGTTATTTTTTTGTTTCGTACGAGAATCAGAATTATGATTGATTTGAAGTGATGGATTCTTGATATAGTGGTGCAGATCATCATCACGGTAATGTGGGATGGATCTACAAGATTAACAATCAAACGCTTAAGTCAGAGTCTCAAAAATAAGTAAAGTGTAAGTTTGAAAAAAGAAAGAGTGTATCTTATATTTTACGTATGTCAGTTATATATGATGGGCAATTTTAATGGGCTTATCACTTAGATTTTACTTGTATCGGGTATTTGGTTGACTTAGAACAATCGTCCCAAGGGTTCTCGGGTGTTTTATCAACCGAGAAACATTTCAAAGTCTGGGTTGGTGCTTTGTTATTAAAGTCGGCCATAAGGAGAAGTGAGAAGACCATGAGGTTGTTGCAGAAGTAGTGGAGAATAAGTGAATTAAATACATTTTCATCATTGAGATATTTCACTGATTTTCAGGCACGTGGCCTTAGGCTCTCAGGCTCGGGTGTGGCGTTCTCCCCGAGGATATTCGAGTGCACTCAAGTACACTTGTATTTTCAAAGTAAAATTTGGATGTTGATTTCAATTTTATATTTTCTGTTGACCCTCCACTTTCTTCATTTGGTTTCATCATTTCCAAGTATCATTCTTACGTTGAACTCACTTCCCTATTTCCAATATTTATTTTCAACATGGCTCGTGTAGATGATTACCTTGTAAGAATGTATGATGATTTAGACGGTAGTTGTTCCTCCTCTTTCGTTAGAATAGAAACTCCTACTAGTTGAGACCACAACCCTTCGGTTACTAGTCACTCTGATCTTGTCATAATAAGTGTGTCTTATTTTATAACTTAGTGTTGTTTAGCCTATGTTAGAATTCCAAATTGGAAGCGGATTAAACTCACTAGTAGAGCCTATAAATATTGTATTCATTGAGTATGCACTAAACAACAATAAAGCATATAGAATTTATGACCTAAATGCTAAAATAATCATAAAATCAAATAAAGTTGAATTCTATGAAGATAAATTTCCTTTCACGTCGAGAAATATTGAGGGTACTGAATCAAATCACATTCTTGTGATAAGAAGCACCGAAAGCAACAGCGAAATAGAAATAGAACTTCGACAAAATAAGAGAATAAGAGTTATTCAAGACTATGGGCCTGATTATGAAGGCTATACAGTAGAAGAAGATCCAATAAATCTTCAAGAAGCCTTGTCATCTCTGGATGCATATTTGTGGCAGGAAGCTATTAACAATGAGATAGATTCTCTAAGATCTAACATGACTTGTCACTTAGTAGACTTTCCTTCTGGTTGTATACCAATAGATTGTAAATGAATTTTGAAAAAGAAACTAAAACATGATAGGACAATTGATAAGTACAAGGCTCGCCTTATAGCCAAATGTTTTAGGCAATATATATATATATATATATATATATATATATATATATATATATATATATATATATATATATATATATATATATATATATATATATATATATATATATATATATTCGATATTTTTTCTCTATTCATTAGAATTACATCCATAAGGGTATTAATTTCAATTATTGTTATTTATAACTTAATAGTACACCAAATAGATTTTAAAACAACTTTTTTAAACGATAACCTAGAAGAAATCTATATGGACCAACCGAAAGAGTTTGTAATTCATGGACAAGAAAACAAGGTCTACAAGTTAGATAAGTTTTTGTATGGTCTAAAACAAGCTCTAAAGCATTGGCGTGAAAAATTTGATAGCTTAATAATATCGAATAGGTACAAAGTGAATGAAAGTGACAAATATGTTTGTTTCAAATCTAAAATTAGCATTTACATTGTCATATATCTTTATATAGATAACTTACTCATATTTGGATCAAACATTCAGGTCGTTAATAATGTGAAATCATTGTTGTGCAAAAAATTTGATATGAAAGATGTAACACCTCCTTTTCAACCCCGCACAAATATAAATATATAATATAATCAGAGTAATTAGCATGTACATCACAAAAGGGCGTCACATTTACTTCACGACAACAAATCTAATACACTAGTCATATTCATAACACGCATTTAGAATCATATTCCATACCATAACACATAAGCATCTCGCAGCGAAATAATTCTTAACTCAAAATAATAATATTAATGATTGAAATCTCATACTGACAATCATATCAGAAAATACTAGGCACTAAAGGCCATCATCACATACATCTCAATTAACATAAATATCTAGAAAGTATAACAATATCTCTCAAATAAACATGAATATCATAAACATAACATGAATCCAAAGGTTCTCCGTGTTACATAGACCAGAGCATGACTCACTACCTAGTAAACAGATAAACAAGAATCTAATCTCCTCCGACTAATCCTTGCTATAAGCATCACTGCTATCCTTGGTACTTGAGCGATGTCGTATAAAACATCATTTCAACATAAGAGTGAGAATTAATATCATTATAGAAATATATAATAATAAGTAATGCATAATAAACATACATCAAATGAATTCATCATACTTCACATAATCATGTATTTAACGTATTTCAACACAATTTATAATTAATCCAAATATTCACAAAATCACACAACTTAATTAATTACTATATCAAATGATAATTAATAAAATAAATAATTATTAAAATAATTACTAAAGAAAAACAGCGCGTTACAACTCTCTCCACTTAAAAGATTTTCGTCCTCGAAAATTATCTCAAACAAATAACTCAGGATAAGACTCTCTCATCTGACTCTCCAATTCTCAAGTCACGTTTCCACCCGCCGGTCCTCCCCAAGCTACCTTCACCAAGGAAATCTCTTTACCACGAAGTTGCTTTACCTTTCTATATCCAATCCTCATACGTAATGTCTCCACAGTCAGGTTATCTCTCACTTGCACATCATCTAATTGGACAACATGAGACGGATCCGCAATGTATCTCCTCAACCGAGACACATGAAACACATCATGGAGATTAACAAGTGATGGTGGCAAAGCAATCTGATAAGCCACTTCACCTATATTCTCTAGAATCTGATAAAAACAATAAAATGCAGCGTCAACTTATGCGATTTCAAAGCTCGACCAACACCCGTTACCGAAGTAACTCAGAAAAACATGATCTCCCTTCTCAAACTTAAGATCTTTCTTCCTCTTATCATGATAACTCTTTTGACGACTCTGAGAAGTCTTCATCTTCTCTCAAATCATCTTAACCTTAGCCATAGTCTGCGAAACTATCTTAGGTCCAACCACAACACTCTCTCCTAATTCTTACCAACACAAAGGTGTTCTACATCTTCTACCATGCAAAGTCTCAAACAGTGTCATTCTAATACTCGAATGGAAATTGTTGTTATAAGTAAGCTCAATCAAAGGAAAGTAACTATCCCAAGCGCCTCCTTATTCCAAAACACAAGTTCTCAAAAGATCTGCAAGTGACTGAATCGTCCCCTCAGTCTGACCATCTGTTTGCGGATGATAAGCAGAACTCAAACACAACTTCATACCCAAAGCATTCTACAAACCTTCCCAAAATCTCAAAGTAAATCTTGTATCCCTATATGACACAATACTCGAATAAATACCATGCAAAATTACAATCCTCTCAATTTAAAACTTTGCAAGTATCTCCATCGGATAATCCATTCTCATCGGAATAACGTGTGCAGATTTCATCAACATGTCCACAATAACCCAAACAGATTAACAATTACGCGGAGTTCTAGGTAAACCAGAAACAAAATTCATATAAATACTATCCCATTTCTATTCAGGAATGGATGACGGTTGCAACAAACCAGACGACTTCTGATGCTCAATATTTGATTTTTGACAAGTCAAACAAGAATACACAAATTCCGCAATCTCTTTCTTCATACCTGACCACCATAACAATTTCCTCAAATCTTGATACATCTTAGTAGCTCCATGATGAATACTCAATCCACTACGATGCACTTCCTCAAGAATATACGCCTCTTTAACTCAACCAAATCCGAAACACAAACTATATCACGATATCTCATGATACCATTCTCATCAATTCGAAAATCACCACCTCGACCTTGATTGATCAACGTCAATCGATCTACCAAACTCAAATCAAATTTATGACCTTCTCGAATCTCATCAAGAATGCCACTAGTAAGCTTCAACATACCAAGCTTAACACCAGAAGAAGTCTCTTCACAAACCAAACTCATATCTCGAAATTGTTCAAGTAATTCCAACTCTTGCACCATCAACACTGACATATGGAAAGACTTCCTACTTAACGCATCAGCCACAATATTCACTTTACTAGGATGATAATTCAAACTAAAATCATAACCCTTTAAGAATTATAACCATCTTCTTTGCCTCATATT